GTGTGAATAAATCCGTGAATTCAAGAAACAGTGAATAAGTTTTCAATAACCTACATGTTATATTTGGAAATTTGAGAATAGACTACGATATCATAGGTAAATATACATGCAGTGCATGGTCATTTCAGTAATTATGAATCGTACTTGTCATTCAATTATTTTAATTAAAATGCTTGACATTAATTTAGATCACCCAGCAGATAATAACCTGTGTTTGTTTAAAAAAAAAAAAAAAACTGTTTTAATAGCCAACGCTACATGTTTCATCAATCAAAACACTAGGGTCATGGGTTTTGAATACCCGTACGTAACTATGTTACGACGTGTATTTGTTACCTGCATTATCATGTTTTTATCGACATTTTGGTTTTAAAAAATCATTCAAATAACTATTGAACTTGCTGATGTATATATAAATCTACCCTGTTGTTCATGAAGTGAATACATAACGCTGATTAATGCCTTCTAGCTATGCTATGGATTAAACGGATATAGACATTGAAGGGAGGTACATGTAACCTTAGTTATATACCGATTCTGCGAATTCAACGAACCGCGATCGTGTCAGAGGAGAGAAAAACATGAAAATTACAACCCCTGAAATTAATCCCCTATACAGTACTTCAACCGAGAAATTAGTTGAAACTGGTTCCAGAAAAGAAGCTGAAAATGTTCAATAGTTTACAGACAATACTTGACACATGATGACTGAACAAGAACAGATAGCAATAAGTAATTTAAATGACTCAGGTGAATTATAACCTGTTCAATCTTAGATCCATCTTTTTTCTAATACGAGGGTTGATCCAAAAGTTCATGGAATTTAATTATTTCTAAAATTTTATTGTGATTTGATGAAAGCAAACAATAGGCATATTTATAATGTAGAGACTTTATGCTACAATACTGGAAAATTTCACCACGTTCCAATTACCAATAAGGTCACATGAGCTTTCTGAACACTGATAGTTGTAAAATCCGGGGGAGACTTCGACGTAACGTCAAGTTAAGTATGTCATGTCATGTTATAGGAGCATCTCACCCTCATGTTCAATTCAACTAAGTAATTCTACAGAATATTCTGCCTTTTTCTCTTTTTTTCTCTCAAGAAAAGCCTGGGTATCCACCAATCGACTTATCTTTATATTACACTCATATTTCAAAAATACTCCCCATCTTTCCATATGATGTTCCAATTTCAGTAGCAAAGTCAAGCACAGTACGTCAGTGGTCAACATCCATCAACGCTTAATTTGTCTACGAGAAAAACAGACCCTCCAAAAGCAGCCACACCTTTAATCAACCTCCATGGAAGTTCTTGAATTTCTCACGCCACTGGAAAATCAGTTGCTAAATGCATTTTTCTCCAGCCTGTATCAGTAGTATACCCCTTTAAGTCAGAGTGTTCCCAAGATTTTAACAAAACTTATAACTTGACTGAAATGTGACGTTCTCTAACAATTAAAAGATGAACAAGAAATCATCAACTAATAATCTAAATATCAAGTTAAATCAGTAAAACTCTCACAGACAGGTATATTAGTGGTCAAGCAATCGTAATAATGACAAAATTCTCATTTTATTTGCCACAGGTTTTTTCTTATATCACGTATTAAGAATTAAAATGATAATGAACAAGTAAATGTCTCCCCTGCATTTTAAAACATCCTTTGCTATGGCAACTGCCATAGAGTTACTATCATTAATATTTAAAATATTTTTTTATTAAAAAAATTCAACAAGTGTCTATATTTTTATTTGTAATTTTCGACCACTTTCACTAATAAATAAATAAAATAAGAAGAAATTCCATGAACTTTCGGATCAATCCTCTTACATGTCAGTCATTAAATTTATACAATATACAGTATGCATAAGGGAGACCAAATGTATTATTACTGCATTAAGGAGACCAACCACTATCCATATGTAAATCAGTATTCAACCACTTTCACTAATAAAAAAATAAAATATGAAGAAATTCCATAAGCATTTGGATCAACCCTCGTACATGTCAGACATTAAATTTATATAATATACAGTACGCATAAGGGAGACCAAATGTATTATTACTGCATTAAGGTGACCAACAACTCTCCACATGTAAATCAGTATTCAACCGCTTTCACTAATAAATAAAAAAAAATATGAAGAAATTAGTGATGAGACATCGGTTAATTTTCATAATCAATCATCGGTTGGAATTGGTTACTGCTTCTGATGCGATTTCACCAATTATAATCGGATTTCTTCATAGTTTTGTATACAAAAAGCAGACTATTACAATAATTTCATTTATTTCTTTAACATGAATATATAAAATACATAATATATTATTTTCTTTGTTGTTTTGCTTCTTTTACACTTTCTAGACCTAAAAATATTTACAGTGGACACCCAACATGGCTGCCTAGCGGCAGAAAACGAACTTCAAAAAGTTGTGGGGGGAATTGATCACTCTATATTTAAGGTAAATGTTGACTAAGTTGCATATTTTATATCTCAAATAAAAGATACAATTAATATTTTTTGAATAAAAAGAATCAGCTGATTGATCAAACCAAAGAGCAAACACAGATTTGGCAGAAAAAAATTCACCCGGGGGTAAATTGAATGGGTCGGTCGGGTTATTACAGGAAACAAAAATAATTTTTTTTAGGCCCTATATATGCATCTTCGGTTCTTAATCACCTCTGCTTCATGCTAGTTGGCTAGTATCAGATGCAGATGCCACTTTCTTTCATTAAGAAGAAATAAATTTTAAACCAGAAATGGATAATTCCGGAATGTATTGTATTAGAAGTATGTTTCCGATGATCGATTATGAAAAACTATAATCGATCATCGGAATCAGTAGCATTTTTTTTGTCGACAATCGATGTTTTCTGATTATCGGTACAACACTAGAAGAAATTCCACGAACTTTTGGATCGACGCTCGTACATGTCAGTCATTAAATTTATATAATGTACAGTATGCATAAGGGAGACCAAATGTATTATTACTGCATTAAGGAGACCAACAACTCTCCACATGTAAATCAGTATTCAACCGCTTTCACTAATAAATAAAAAAAAATATGAAGAAATTAGTGATGAGACATCGGTTAATTTTCATAATCAATCATCGGTTGGAATTGGTTACTGCTTCTGATGCGATTTCACCAATTATAATCGGATTTCTTCATAGTTTTGTATACAAAAAGCAGACTATTACAATAATTTCATTTATTTCTTTAACATGAATATATAAAATACATAATATATTATTTTCTTTGTTGTTTTGCTTCTTTTACACTTTCTAGACCTAAAAATATTTACAGTGGACACCCAACATGGCTGCCTAGCGGCAGAAAACGAACTTCAAAAAGTTGTGGGGGGAATTGATCACTCTATATTTAAGGTAAATGTTGACTAAGTTGCATATTTTATATCTCAAATAAAAGATACAATTAATATTTTTTGAATAAAAAGAATCAGCTGATTGATCAAACCAAAGAGCAAACACAGATTTGGCAGAAAAAAATTCACCCGGGGGTAAATTGAATGGGTCGGTCGGGTTATTACAGGAAACAAAAATAATTTTTTTTAGGCCCTATAAATGCATCTTCGGTTCTTAATCACCTCTGCTTCATGCTAGTTGGCTAGTATCAGATGCAGATGCCACTTTCTTTCATTAAGAAGAAATAAATTTTAAACCAGAAATGGATAATTCCGGAATGTATTGTATTAGAAGTATGTTTCCGATGATCGATTATGAAAAACTATAATCGATCATCGGAATCAGTAGCATTTTTTTTGTCGACAATCGATGTTTTCTGATTATCGGTACAACACTAGAAGAAATTCCACGAACTTTTGGATCGACGCTCGTACATGTCAGTCATTAAATTTATATAATGTACAGTATGCATAAGGGAGACCAAATGTATTATTACTGCATTAAGGAGACCAACTACTATCCACATGTAAATCAGTATTCAACAACTTTCACTTATAAATAAATAAAATATGAAGAAATTCCATGAACTTTTGGATCAACCCTCGTACATGTCAGTCATTAAATTTATATAATATACAGTATGCATAAGGGAGACCAAATGTATTATTACTGCATTAAGGAGACCAACTACTCTCCACATGTAAATCAGTATTCAAAACTTGAGATTTTAATACCCTAATAATTTACATGTTTAGTTACATGAACTAAATCTATTTACCTTTGTCATAACGCAAGAAATGTTTTACATTCAGCCAACTTTAACATTACACATGCATACAGTGTATGCCATGCATTAGGAAGACCAGATGCATTACTTCAACATTAAAGAAACCAACTACAATGGAACAATTAGAAGTATTCCAAAAAATTCATTCCAATACCATAGTAATTTCCCTTAATTTGTTTGTATTTAGATGACTTAAATCAATTTATCTCAGCCAGAATTGGAACAAAAAAACTGATCATAAAAGTGGCCAAACACATGAACAGACAGATGGACATGATGATTCCTATGCTTATATACTCCCAAAGTTGCCAAAGTAGAGCAGATGCAGTGGTTAGAGCGTCTACTCTAGAGTTGCGGAGAAAGAAGCTGATCCTTACATCGCAGGTTTGAATCCCACTGTGGGACGTGGAGACCCGTTCTTCAGATGAGACAGAGGTATTAACCGAGGTCCCATGTCACAGTAGGTGCTGGCTCGATAAAGATCCCTCAATGCTCAATGGCCGTAAGTGCTGAGTATAGGACAAAAATTTGCAGCTCTCCACTGACAAGTGGTGGCGTCTCCATATGAGTGAAAAATTCTCAAGAGGGACGTTAAACAACAAACACTCTACACCCAAAACTTTGTTGGCAGAAGATTTTGTGATACATGCTTTACAAGTATACATATTGTTCATAAGGGAATAAAAATGCTATAATATATCATTAAGGAAAGCAACTGAAATTAAATGTGCACTTCTAATTGAACTAAACAAAATTACCCTTTGTCAGAATGTAAACAGGAAGGCTGTTTTTCTTCATTTTTTCCATGTCAGATTCAGACTGTTCTTGAAAAAATTCTGGCATTCACCCTGTAAAAGTGAACAGTGCAGATAATAAAGAGCTTCTAAATAAACTGCATAATATTTAAATGATCCACTTAAAAGGGATAACAAATGCATTTAACTCCATCAAGGAGACCAACTGATATCCATATATATATATATAAATCAGTACATGTATTTTAATTGTGATATTTTAATATCCTAGTAATTTACATGTTTAGTTTCATGAAATAAATCTAGTTACCTTTGTCCAATGACCAATGAGCACAAGCACTGATTTTTCCTCTTTTTTCTTAACGGAATCACCAGGGCCAGTCTGCAGTCCATATGATTCTGGCATATGTACACTCTGTAAAATGCATATTTGTACCATGTACAGGCATATGAACAATATTTCTATACTACATACATGCATCATTAAACTTAATAATCTTTTTTTTTCCAAAATTCATTATTCATAGTGTTCTGCTGTTAGCAAAATTCAACAAAAACTATACCGTATATATATTTGCCTATAAGGTGGTCCACCTATAAGTCAGTTGTATTTTTTGAGGTTATTTTGGAGGGATTTGCTATTGACCCGCTTATAAATTGGTACAACTTTTTGCCAGAATCAATTGACAATTTCAAATCAATGCTCTGATGTTTTAACCTGGTTTCAAAATACTAATCTTTTTATGACTCACCTATAAGCTGGACATAGAATATATACAGTACCTGCATTATACATGCATTAGGAAGACCAAATGCATTATTGCAATATTAAAGAGACCATTGTGGCAAATGAAATCAATGTATGAATTGTATTCAAAACTACGGGTGTACTAATTTGTCTGAAGTACATCATGATATAATGTGATACACAAAGACTTTAACAGGATATGTACATATACCCACATGCCTAAATGTAACAACAGGAATTATCGTTCTACAATAATTTATTGAAATTGCCAATATGAATAAACAAAAGCAAACTTTGTTTCGATTGTATAAACTTTAAGTTTTCTTTTTCCACTACGGTCAGATAATCTAACTATCCCCCCTGGTTGGCTACCGGGTCCTTCGTTAGACTGCCTTATCGGACATGATATTTACTGAAGAATTGATTTTTGGTACTGACTTTTATACTCAAAGTAATGTCTTTAATTGTTTAATTTCTTGAGGTCAATATCACTTTGATGTGTTCAGTGTTTACTTTGATATGTAATGATGTGTATAAGCGTGTATTTTCGATAATTTAAATTTCTAGTACAGTAATCATCCCCAAGCTGCTGTTTCATTATCGTGTCATAGTATCTCTGAGAGTGCATTTTATTAACACCTCCAAATCACCTGGCCTGCGTAATTAAATTTAACTACCAAAAACAACAGCTTGGGACTAATAAGGTGTGATTATCAGCAATGGTCCCATGAAGCCTGTGCTAGACCTATCGGAAACGTCCAACAGACCGTAAAATTAGCATAATGGGATTATTGTGTACTAAGGTGTGAATGCAGTGGAGTGAGAATTTGTTGGACTTCGAGATAACGCATGTGTTTATAGCACTTGGGACCGTAAATCTACTTCGAGATAAGCGAGGTATTCGAGATTTCCGTGTTTGAGATACCGGGGTTTTTTAAAATCATAAACATAATAAAAACGGCTGGGACCGTTGATTCACTTCGAGATATCCGTGGTATTCGACATACCGGTGTTCGAGATACCGAAGTTTACCTGTATATCGATACATATCTAGATTAATGAATATATCGTATCAAAAACAAGAGGCCCATGGGCCACAACGCTCACCTGAGCACATTGGCTAGGAAAAAGCACAAATCACTTCAGTATTGAAAAGTTTAAAGGGGAGGGGGCTTGGATTTTGAACTACCTGAGGATGCTTCCATATCAATTTAACAAATGGCTTTACTGTTCTTGAGCAGAAGATTTTTAAAGATTTTTTTCCTATATATTCCCTTGTTAAAAATTTGATCCCCCATTGTGGACCCTCCCTAACCCCCCCCCCCCCCTTCCATCATTTGAACAAACTTGAATCTACACTACCTGAAGATGCTTCCATATCAAAATGACTAAACATGGCTTTTCTGTTGATGAAAAGATTTTTTCCTATATATTCCTATGTAAAAATTTGATCCCACATTGTGGCCCCACCCTACCCCTGGGGTTTATGATTTGAACAAACTTGAATCTACACTACCTGAAGATGCTTCCATATCAGTATGACAAAACATGACTTTGCTGTTCTTGAGAAGAAGATTTTTGAAGTTTTTTCCTATGTATTCCTATGGAAAACTATGATCCCCCATTGTGGTCCCACCCTACCCCCAGGGGTCATGATTTGAACAAAATTGAATCTACACTACCTGAGGAAGCTTCCATATCAATATGACAAAACATGACTTTGCTGTTCCTGAGAAGAAGATTTTTCAAGTTTTTTTTCCCTATATATTCTTATGTAAAACTATGATCCCCCATTGTGGCCCCACCCTACCCCCAGGGGTCATGATTTGAAAAAACTTGAATCTACACTACCTGAGGAAGCTTCCATATCAGTATGACAAAACATGACTTTGCTGTTCTTGAGAAGAAGATTTTTGAAGTTTTTTCCTATGTATTCCTATGTAAAACTTTGATCCTTAATTGTGGCACCACCCTAACCCTGGGGGTCATGATTTGAACAAAGTTAAATCTACACTATCTGAGAATGCTTCCATATCAATATGACTTAACAAGGCTTTGCTGTTCTTGAGAAGAAGATTTTTCAATTTTTTTTTCTGTGTATTGCTATGTAAAACTTTGATCGCCCCTTGTGGCCCCACCCTACCCCGAGGGGTCATGATTTGATACAAACTTGAATCTTCACTACCTGAGGATGAATCCACATCAATATGACTAATTGTGACTTTGTTGTTCTTGAGAAGAAGATTTTTCAAGATTTTTTTCTACATATTTCTATGTAAAATTTTGATCCCCCACTGTGGTCCCACCCTACCCCTGGGGGTCATGATTTGTACAAAATTTAATCTACACTACCTGAGAATGATTCCATATCAAAATGACTAAATGTGGCTTTGATGTTCTTGAGAGAAAGGTTTTTAAAGATTTTTTTCTATAAATTCCAATGTAAAATTTTGATCCCCCATTGTGCCCCCCCCCCCCCCCCCCCGGCCGGGGGTCATGATTTTGTACAAACTTGAATCTACACTACCTGAGGATGCTTCCATATAAATTATGACTAATTGTGGCTTTGTTGTTTTTAAGAAAAACAATTTCAAGATTTGTCCTACATATTTCTATGTAAAACTTTGATCCCCATTGTGGCCCCACCCTACCCCTGGGGGTCATGATTTGAACAAACTTGAATCTGCACTACCTGAGGATAATTCCATATCAATATGCCTAATTGTGGCTTTGTTGTTCTTGAGAAAAAGATTTTTAAAGATTTTTTCTATATATATCTATGTAAAATTTTGATCCCCCATTGTGGTCCCACCCTACCCCTGGGGGTCATGATTTGTACAAAATTTAATCTACACTACCTGAGAATGATTCCATATCAATATGACTAATCGTGGCTTTGTTGTTCTTGAGGAGAAGATTTTTAAAGATTTATTCCTATATATTCCTATGTAAAATTTTGATCCCCCATTGTGCCCCCCCCCCCCCGCCCAGGGGTCATGATTTTGTACAAACTTGAATCTACACTACCTGAGGATGCTTCCATATAAATTATGACTAATTGTGGCTTTGTTGTTTTTAAGAAAAACAATTTCAAGATTTGTCCTACATATTTCTATGTAAAACTTTGATCCCCCATTGTGGCCCCACCCTACCCCTGGGGGTCATGATTTGAACAAACTTGAATCTGCACTACCTGAGGATAATTCCATATCAATATGCCTAATTGTGGCTTTGTTGTTCTTGAGAAAAAGATTTTTAAAGATTTTTTTCTATATATTCCTATGTAAAACTTTGATCCCCCCTTGTGGCCCCATCCTACCCCTGGGGGTCATGATTTGAACAAACTTGAATCTACACTACCTGAGGATGATTCCATATCAATATGACTAATCGTGGCTTTGTTGTTCTTGAGGAGAAGATTTTTAAAGATTTATTCCTATATATTCCTATGTAAAACTTTGATCCCCCATTGTGGCTCCACCCTACCCCAGGGGGTCATGATTTGAACAAACGAATCTACACTATGTAATGAAGGTCTCACCTAAGTTTCAACTTTTACAGCCCAGTGGTTCTTGAGAAGAAGATTTTTAAAAGATACCACTAAATTTTCACTAATTCTTAATTATCTCCTCTTGAAAGAGGGTGTGGCCCTTCATTTGAACAAATTTGAATCCCCTTTACCCAAGGATACTTTGTGACAAGTTTGGTTGAAATTGGTCCAGTGGTTCTTGAGAAGAAGATGAAAATGTGAAAAGTTTACGACAACGACGACAGACAACGGACAAATTTTGATCAGAAAAGCTCACTTGAGCTTGACACAAATGATATACAACAAGGACTTTGATTGGATTATTAACATTCATTCGATTGATCATAATTATTAACTGTTATTGCACTTTCATTTTCAAAATGTTGTTAGGTACATTGTTTGTTCACTCTTTTGCATTGATATTATAATTTTATAAAAGAGTATTTTAGCAGAAAAAATTATCAATTTACCTTTCTTGGAATAAAGACATGTGGACACTTGAGCTGAGATTTTCTCTCTTTCCATAGATTTGTTACACTGGGGTCCACATGATTCTAGCAGAGACCCTGTAAAAAAAGGACTTAACTATGGAAAAAGCATGAAGAATATATGCCTACTATACATATCTTAAATTCTAATGAAAACAATGTTTTTTAATTAAGATCCATATATTTCTAATGATTGACATAATACAAATTCAAAATAAAATATGCATGTCTATATTATCACTGTACCTTAAGCAGACCAATTGCATTATTACATCCTTCAGGAGACCAACTTAAATCAATGTTTGAGAACTACTTGCGAGAACAATAAATATGTCTACTTTACAGTACTAAATGTACATGGAATCTATAGGATCATGTTACTTTAATTGACCTGCCTTAGTTCAACACAGTAATCTAACAAACAAATTGAGTCAAAACAACATTTTAAGACTTTTTGAACAGTGCATGTTCCTATCATTTCAAAACCATTACCAGTAAAAATGCTAATACATGTATAGGAAAATGATGACAATTAATCAATATTGTACTTTCAGGTATATTAGATGAATTAATCTGATTCGTCAAGAAACATTTGTTAAAAAGCACTATTATCCGCTGAATAATGAAGCCACGCCCAGTGTCGCAACAGTCAACATTGCTTGACGACGGGTGATATTCCAAAAAATAGTGACTGCGCAGATTTATGCGCTCAAGGTTCACTATTATTTGTATTTGTATAAAACATTCAGTATAATATAATAAATATTGCATGTAATTGAGTGTAATATTGAAAATTTTCACCCCTCGAAAACCAAATACGTCGAAAAGGGGATGGGTTTCTTTTCCAACTTCTACATAGTTTCGCCCCTGCAAAAACTGGTATAGACCTTGGAAATGTTTAAACGGGCTAAGAGAAATCAAATGCATCAAGAGTACTTAATTGTTTTTACCCAAGTTACATACCAAAAAAGATTCAGAGAGACGTCACATAAAGTTAACGTTGATTTGAACTGAAGTTAGGGTGTCAAAAGTCATTCACGTCCAAAAGTGACATTGATCATGTGTGGTAGATAATAAACTCCTACGGGCTAAATATGCTGCCATAATCAATTGAGGATCTTTCCCTAATCCTATATATAAATCCATTTAGTACAATATTATATGCACTTAAGCAGCTGTTTATGACATTGTAAAATTATATAATCAAGACCGGTTTATATGATTTATATCAATTTATATAATTAATAATATAATTTATGTAATTTTATCAAGATAAGTGTATGGGGTAGAGGGAGCAGACATTGAGAATCAATGTTGTCGGACCTCATGAAACTAAACTAACAGTCTTCCAAATAACCTGGGAGTCCAATGCCAGGGACCTGTTAAATTTGCAGCCGGGCATGTAAAAATTGCCAAATTACATGTCTGAAGAGGGCATATGTGAATCTTCTTTCATTGTACGATCTTTACTTGCCATTTACTCTGTCCTACCCCCATTATTCGCTTAAACGTTGCTATATGTAATGTCGATGGATTGCCTGTCTACATTCTCGATACGACCTGTCAAATGATTGTCAATCTAATCATTGAAGTGTTTAGTTTAACCTATTTGTTTTCTCAAAGTTGCTTGCTAAATTACGAGATGTTCATCAATGCCACATACTGTGGCACTACAGTCATGATCCCATTTCTGAAATTCAGTTCAGCTAAACCGGCCAACAAATGACCAGCATGCAACTCAAAAGTTATTTATGAACAAAAACGCTTTAGAAAATGGCAATCACAGGCCATGGTTGGTTTACAACGCTGAAAAAATTAATATAAAACCTTTATACCTAATGGGTTTTTTTTGTTGCACAATACTGGTAAATGTAAGAATTTTGAGTAGGACATGTACAAATTTGAATGGGCTGGGTGAAAATGATAGGTCTACATGCCCGAAGGGCATGTGCTGAAAAAGAATTGTTGTGAAGACTGAACTAAAGCGACAGCGCCGGGTGATCATATAAAGTCCCCTCTATTACATAATAATTTGGCAAATTATCAACATATCAAGCTAAAATTTCCAACATATCTTAACGGTGAGAATTTTTATTTTTTAAGTTGAAACCTCGTGACCTGTGAAAAAAATGAAATTTGTATCCCATCTAAAGTCTTAAAATGTATCAAGGTAATTTTCGATACAAATTTGCGGTTGGGGTTATAAATGAAGGATAAAACCAGAGACCTCGGAATGGAATACTCGGAAGTCTCTTGTTTTATTCTACCCCCAACTGGAAGTTGTATCCCATCTTAAGTCTTAAAATGTATCGATTGTAAAATGTAAAACGATTTATTTGACAAGAAAAAAGTCTCTTGAAGCGAACGATGTCATTTTAAAGTAGGTTAATGATTGATAATGATACATGAACAAAATACGAGCTTGAAGCGGGGGTGCCTGAAATTGAGTTAGATACCTTGTGGTAAAAATAAGTAGGGGTGCACCGTATATGAAACAAGTGCCTGTGATTGATAGTCTGAAATTTCTCTTCACCTAAATATCAAAAGCTTGCAGTGATCGCTATAAATCTATACAACAGTCAAGTTACATATGGTAAACTAACATAAAAACAAGATTACAACAGTCATGATTACAGAAGGTATATTTTGAAGACTCTAGGTCAGTAGGTGAATGTAAACAGGTAAACACTGGTAAACACACGTGGGACAGTCACCGCAAATATGAACCACAAAACGACTTATAACATTAAAATGTAAATATTCATCTGCACACAGATTTTTGCATAATAATAATAATTTTTAAAAGTGTAAATTAAAATATAAAATAAACAAACCTCAAACCTTGTAACAAGGCTTGCTTCCCTACAATCTTATTCTGGTTCTCTGTGGTTCACTGAAAATGCAGGGAACCAGGCTGCGTTATTAACTCGTACACAGATTTGTTGATACGAATAAACCTATAAACATATATACGAAATAAAATATTATCATAAAAAATGAAGAATTTCAAATTGCTTGAAAAATTATCTTTATGTAGTTTATAATAAATGGTTGTAATTGTTTATTAATTTCTATCTATCCATTAAAATTTGATACGTATATCAGCTTAATATGTATCCGTCTGAACAATTATTGTTATTACACTCCCTGTCACATCTTCATAGTTAAGCCTGTAAGCATGGTAAGTAGGAATCAATTTCAGTTGAAGGGGACCAAAACCAAACATTTTTCAGTTTCATTTGGTGGGGAGGGGGGGGATATAAACCTCAAATGATTATTTTATCTCTGTCACTGAACTGCTGAAAATAATGAAGGGAACTAGGCTGCGACAATGATTTGTTGACAGAATTAAAATACGAAATAAATTATCATACATACGAAATAAAATAATTTCATGAAAAAATGAAGAATTTCCAATTGCTTAAAAAAAAAGAAGCTTTTCATGTATGTGATTTACAATAAATGGTTGTACTTGTATATTTTCTATATATCCATTAAAATTTCACAGTATCAGTATTTCACTATTTGTAAACATATGATATTAAATAAATGTTACACTCACTGTGGCTTTGACTGAGTTACTGTCACATCTTCATAATTATACGAGAATATTCCCTTCCGTAAATATTGCTATATATATCTGAACTGTTACCAATTCATCTTTCTTTGGTGAAAGAAAACCTCAGGGATGGAGAATAGGCCCGTACGTAATTTAGTTGGAGGGGGGGGGGGGGGTGAGCACAACCAAACAACATTTTTCACTTTCAGGTTGGGGGAGGCTACAAACCAAAAAAATTTTTAATAAGCAAAAGAAAAATACATTATTGCCTGACGCCACGTGCGTCAGGCAGTATAAGGATTAATTTTTTCAAGATCCGAAACTAAGCGATCATTCTTAATGAACTAGATTTTCTGGAAGCTGACTTACACTGGAATTTGTTTCCTGCATTTAAACAAATACAGTTTGCTGAAGAAATAATCGTATTACTGATGCAAAATAATGATGTGTTTAATTCCTTCAGTTTTTTGGCATGCACATGTTTATTCTTTGCGATTCTTTGTACGGGCATGTCCGTGTAATATTTTTTCTGCGTTTCTAAACTACTGGATCAGTCCATTTGCCTTCTACAAAAGGGGTGACACAATCATTTCGCGCCAAATGTCACATGTAAATTATCTTCGCGCCTTTTTCTTGGATTGTTCTATTGAATGGGTGTGATACTTCTATGGAAATAAATAAGGTTTATTCTTTTAACCTGATTCTTCAGCTTCAGATTTTTTATTAAAATTTTATCTCATTTTTAAAAGAACACATTGTATATGGGCAGGCAACACTATAGCAATGGATTTGCTGATTATTCTTACTATTTATCCCTTAAGTAAACTAGTCCAATCATAAGCAAACTCCCTCGACCTAGTAAATGGGACATCCCTTCTTGATTCAGTCTGTTTCCCACCTTTAATTTCAATATTACATTTATTAATAATGTACGTTACAAGGTTAGGTTTTTAAGAAAGCTTAGAAAGTCAGCCAGTAGCATATTATTTCATGCTGTGTGATGAACAAGGATAGTGACAATAGTAGGTCAGTACCCATAGAGGAATGGGCTTAACTCCCGTAAGGTTCTAAGCAAAGAATCGGCAAAATGAAGAAAACATCATGATCTGTACTAGTTTTCATTTCATATAAAAGCACGTTATTATAATTATGAGAAAGGTCCTGAAATCGATTGAAAAGAAAGACTAAACAATAGTAAAACTGCACATAAAGATGTATTTTAAACTCATTTAGAATACATGTACATGTATATGGTAAGACCATCAGCGCGTGAGTTTCGTCCGGGGGGGGGGGGGGTGTTATTAGTATCTTGTTTTGCTCTAGCTGTAAAGTGTACAGTCCATGCATTTACTTTGAGTTCTAGAGCAGCATTGAAGCATTTTTGTCTCAAACACTTCAAGAAAAGGCAGTTAAAACTGTTCATAATTTACTTCGACGTCGAAAACGACGGAAAACAGACCAGTTTATAAAAGGAGGCTGTCTCATCAATCTATCACTGACCAGAGAAGCGCGCCCTCTAGTAAGAGAGTACATGTAATATGAATTTCTTTAGAATCATCTAACTATTTTCCCAAAATTATAATCTACGCTATCGCACTTAAAGTTAGAGTTTCATCCCAACGTAACTTGTCAGCCCGTGGGCTAACTAATAAATGATTGAATAGTGGCATTTCTTAGATATTCGTTAATCCACTGAGAAGTCAATTGTATCTTGTGTCATGAAGTATCGCAACTATGTCGCTCCTTGATGACGGAAACGTTTAGCACCTCTCTTGCTTATACGTTCCATAGATATTGATTGATTAGTCAGGCAAGCTTTTTGAAAAGCTATTACTTGTCAGAGGTTATTATTGAGGGGGCCCAAAAGCAAAAGAAAAATAGATCATCAGAGGTTATTATTGAGGGGGCCCAAGCATAAAGGAGCAATGTTTTCTATAGTATACCTAAATTTCAGCAAAATTACAGGGGGCCTGCCCCCCCCCCCCCCGTTCCTTCAGCCATGTATTGTATCAAATCTGCTTCACCCTGATTCAGATTTTTTTTTTACAGCATATATATTCCATTAGCAGAGGACCACATTATATTAATAAACAATTATTAAATTACAGCTATTTTTTTCTTACAGGGTCTGTTTCATTTATACTATATCATGATGAACATGTCCTGCATGATGTTTACAGAAAGTTTAATTTAAATTTTTAAGCTCGAAATAGCTGCGTCAACTTGCGAGACTATTTTTTCAACGTTCGGCCTAATCTTTAAATATTTAATTTGTTTGTGGACTTGCATAAAAGAATTAAAAAAATATAGGGGCCTATCATTTAACTTTATTTCGAATTTCCTTCAGGATTTTATATACCGAACTATAGTCTAACGATTATTTAAAATCATACTTTTTCTCTTGAAAGCTAAATTACTAGGCAAAAAAAAAAAAAAAACAACAAAAAAAAAAAAAAACAACAACAAAACCAAACGAATGTTTGTCTTGTGTATTCTTAATTACAACTTATTACTGTATCATTTTAGTTACTTACCCAAATTTCTCAACATCCATGGTGTTCAGAGGTCATTTTCTGAAAACTGAAGGGGCATTCCGATGGCATTCGGAACAAATGACGGAAAGCACTTGCTAAGAATTCAAAACATGGTTCATAAATTTACAATATTTTTCCTTTTTAGGTTTTTAACATAAAACATGGAAAACTAAGTTAAAGAAACACTCATTTGAACAAATCAAAAGCGGAAAAAATATATATGCTAGATTTTTTGTTTAATTGCATGTTTTTCATGGTCTCCAAAATGCAGAAAAATTATCCTTTGAAATTATACGTAGGTTATAAATTCTTTTCTTTTTTAGGGAAGATGATAGAAATTAGACAACTTTTGAATGTTAAATAACAGAGTTAAAGATTAATAATATTTAATGGCAGACTGTTTATTTATCTATAAAAAGACATTTGCAATACTGATGAGGTCAAAATAATAGGGAGACCGAAAAAGGTCGCCTTAATCCAGTGGTCTCCCTAAGCCAGAAAATATATCCTCCTTGGTCTCCTAAAGCCATATGTCATATATATATATATATATATATATATATATATATATATATATATATATATATATATATATATATATAGACGACGTTTTTCTCAATTAATAATCTATACTTTCATATAAATTATTTGAATTTGATTCGTCGAGAAACATTTGTTAAAAAACAGTTACCCTCTGAATGATGAAAGGACGCTCTCCAGGGCGATAGAACTTATAGTAATAGTCAACATTGTCTGAGGACAGGTAATATTCAAAAAAAAAAAATGACTGCGCGGAATCTATGTGCCCCCGCTTTACATTTCTTCGTATTTGTATAAAACATTCATAATAAATACTACATGGAATATATGGAGATAACGAACAGTATTCAAGCTCAAAAGTCCATTCAAACAATACAAATCAGGAACAGAGCACACATGGACCTCTAAAACATCAGAGGTGGGATCAGGTGCCATGGAGGAGTAAGTCGGACCGGAAAAAAGAGCACAAAGTTTTGGCACTAAATCAGTCCAGATATCAAAATTATTAACTGAGAACACATTGAAGTCAAATTAATATAAGTATTTGTATAATTGTTATAATTAAACGATTGTTTTATCATGAATTTGCATTCAAATAAATGTACAAACCTGCATTTTTTTTCAAACGCGTACTTGAAAATTGAAGAAAAAAAAAATCCAGATGTTTTTTTTAACTTGTCGTTTCTCAGTTTTCGGTCTTGATATGAGGGGGCCGTTAAATACTAAAGAAAAAGGGGTGAAAATTAAACACCACATATATTCTAATTCTACATTCACTGTCTTAAAGTACAGATAAACAAGGAGAATAGCCTCGTACAATTTCCTCTTAACACCAGGCAGCTTCCGGTGTTTGTACACTTTTATCATTTTGATCCCAAGGCAATACTTAACTTATAATTCATAACACGATGAGGTTTCATTCATTGATGAAAAGTTTATCACATGAGTGAATTTCAGTAGTTTCATTTGCGGGATTATTGGCATATTTTATCCGACATATCTATGTAATCTATATAATTAAATGATCTCTGTGTCTTATTGGCTGGTAAACACTTAGTCCACGATAATCAGAACTGCTTGTATGGCAGTATTTCAAGACCATATATGGCTTTACTAATTTTGCTATCTCTGGTATCATCATACATTTCGCTGTGTAGTTTAGACTTCGGAAAATAGAAGACTCCATTGATTCCAAGATTGATGAGAAGTGAAATACTGGTCACAGAAAATAACGTTTTTGTTTTGATTTGTTTTTTCTTCCAATTTGACACACTCGTCAACTTCCAAAGACAAAACATGTCTAACTATATATGATAGATGAAGGTTCTATAATCAAATTATGGAACTCAACAATGCTTATAATTTTTGTAATTGTAATACAGTTTACAGGTATTTGAGAAGTGAAATAGTTTTAGTGTATCCTTTTTTATTGAGTGTAATTTATTGAATTATTGCACTGTCATTCCTCCGTCCATGGGAATAGATGTCCCTGTCATATTATCAGCGTCCGGAGAACAGAGAAACAGGATCATATTAGCTATCTAAAAAACAAATTAATGTGGACCTTACAAGTCTGCATGAGATCTAACTTATCATTTTAAAAAAAGATTATATTGTTTTGGATTAGAAAATTTGACCCTCTTTCCTGAAATACAAATTAAAAAATTTTCATTTACTAGATTAATATTTTTTAGCAACGTATTTCAAATATACAAATAAAATAAATAAACTGGCGAGTTGTATTACATACGCACCTGGGATGGTCGATTTATTTTACCGGTGGGTGTAGCATTTGTGAACAAATCATGCTGGAGAAAACAAAATCGTAGATAAATGTTTACATTAATTATCAATATTGGATTTTAAGATTTAAACATTAAACAGTTATACCATGATATACCTTAGCCTCCTCCAGTGATTTGCCAGTTTTCTCTGCCAGTATCTTTACCTGAGGTGCTACAACTATAGATAATATTAATTAAGGTCAGCTTTACTGTATTGAAATTCTCCAAATATGTATATTTAATGTTAAAAATTTAAATCTGAGAAAAACTAGTTGAAAGGTAAATATTCAGTTTTATAAAATACCATATATTACTTTGGTTGCAGTACATGATTTATTATGCCTATATTCATAATGGCAGAAAGAAAACAATATACAATTTTTGTATCTTTTTTTTTTTTACTTTATATTGTGTGTTTGTACGTGTGTGTTTAACATACGGGGTGTATCAGTCCATGCCGGACAAATGGCATTGCAGGTGATTCCAAAGGTAGCGGTGTCCATAGCAACACCCTGAAAAGGATTCAAACAATACTATTTACATACTGCCTGTGTGTTTGTCTTTTGTGTGTGTGTCTGTGTGTGGAGCCGTCTATTTAGAAGATCATATTGCTTGGCAGAGGTATGATTAAGGGCCAAATTCTTTATACCGTAGATGGTTATAGAATATTCAATTAGAATAATAAAAATGCTTTGAATAAAAAAAATCAATCTTCTAATTAGTTTAAAATATATCCTTACCCGCGTTAGTCCAACCAGTCCAGTCTTTGAAGATATATAGGGAGTTTTATTGGAGTGGGCCATCATTGCCTGGACGGACGAGATGTTGACAATTCTCCCCCAGCCTATAAATTAAAAAAAAACAAAGAGTACTATTTACTCAGCAAATGATATTATTGAGAATTCTATAAAATAAATATGTTTTGAACCCAAGAAAAGAATAGATAGGCAATATGTTCATTCGTGATTGTGTGTCTGTCTAGTTGTCTTTCTGTCTGCCTATTGTTCTCTGCTTGTCCACAAGCTATCTCAACATGTCTGCATTTCATTTAAAAAAAACATGTGCCCTGAGATTTGAGGAGGATTTTATAGAAAAGAAAATAAGAGGTATTGGTTCTATTAAGATATGGTACATTAAAACAGACAAAGTTTAAGCAATCAAGAAGCTGAAATTGCTCCTTCAATATACTTTTATATATCCTTGGGCCTCTTGTTTGATTAGTGGCTGTATTCGCTCTTCGAACACCCCCTAGCATTCTAATAAATGCTTTATTTATACAGTTATATTGAATACAAAATGTTAAAATATTGATAATTTTATAAGTTTTTACCTTTTTTCTTCATTGATGGTACAACATGTTTGCTAAGCATGAACGGAGTTGTCAGATTTACTTGTATCAAATCGTTCCACTTTTCAAGTGGCATTTCATCGACGGGAGCTACATGCTGTAATCCTGAAATGGATTGGTAGAAAATTACATTTGTATGAAATAAAATGAAAATTACACTTCGCTTAGACTTTATCAAAATATTACAAAAAAGAATAGTTGGACTCCAGAAAGTAAGAAATGTGGGAATAAAGTGATCAAATGACTAGCATGTGATCTCTCTTAATGCATGTATTTTACTTCTGATAAACTTTCTAACTGTCATTAATTGTCATTTATGTAAGCCTGGTCAATCCCATATTCTTTCTTTATCTTACTAGACTGTTATCAGACCATTGGCAGCATTGATAAATGAGACACGTGACCAGTTTTACTAAAGATAACTGAAGATTAATATGTCTACTTACCGGCATTATTCACTAGAATATCGATGCCCTCTGGAATTATCTCATCTGCTCTTTTACATAAATCTTCAACATTTTTAACTTCCCGAAGATCACACTGTATGAAATGCACCTTGCCAACAGCCCTTTCGAACAAAGAAAATTTATCGAAGAACTTGAATGAAAATGCCAGCTGACCTACCTGAAATTTTTTGATTTCAGAAAGCACTCTTGCAAATAATCATTAATTCATAATCGTATATATGCAGTAGATTTAGATAATAATGTCTACAAAATAAATACATTGCCATGCCTCTATGCCATTCGTCTTACAGTATTTTGATACTTTTTCTGAGAGTCACGGCTGTTGAAATAATATTTATTGAGGAAGTTTTGGTTTCTGTTCTTATGGTAAGGTCTTCAGTATCATTGCAATAAGTGGTGATCAGATCATGGTGATAAGATATTATTACATATGTATAATTTTATTGGTAACACTGATAATATGAACGGGGTACTTAAACTTGAATACGCAAGATTTATCAGTGCCGACGCACGTGCTTTGAATATCCTGCAGAGCTTCTCTGGCCTTTTCTTCTGATCTTGACCCCGTTACTATGACTGAGCATCCATTTTCTGCCAGAAGTTTGGCTGTAGCTTGTCCAATCCCGCTGGTGGACCCAGTTATCAAGGCTGCTTTTCCAGACACAAACATATCTGTATTTTGAAAATATTGGAAATGCGTGTTACTAGCAATTTCCGAAATATAGTATCGGTTTACTTACTTCTCCTTTTATCATAAACTAAAGTCACTCGCATTTAAGTCAAATTATATTGTGTTGTGAGCATTTTAATGCCCTATTAGTTATACATGCACATATTTATATATCGTCCTAAATATAATGTATGCATTAACATGGGTAAATCCTCGGGTCAACAGCTAATCAATGCTAGATTTGCTTTAAACATTAATAAACAAATATTTGTACAATAAATTCTTAATTCCATTATTTCTTTCTACTACAGTATAAGAGAGTGTGAGATAATAATTCGATACAGATTAAGATAATCAGGAAGTAGACGGTCGCTTATCTCCGTGTCAGTCCCAGAGACTAATAACTAATAAAATAAGATAGCAAAAATGTTGCCTTGAACTAGTTGTTTTAAAGTTCAGTATCATATTGACAAGGATTCATTATGCTTATCAAAAGTACAGTTTTAACATGTTCTTTTTGCATTCTAATTAAAGTAAATATCAGACCATAAGTCATGCATTTTTCTTACCTTGTGTACAACTTGTCTATGTTATCTCTTTTGAAAACGAAACATGCCGTTTGTTTACACCGGAAGTAGAATCGGCTTTGTTTAATTTCCTGAGTGGAGTGGAATGGAGCGATGTGGGTGAATTAAAATAAAATGACCGAAAACACATATTTATCAACCTGCACTAAAAACACAGACAATTGGAATAAATTTCTATGTCTCAGCATATATCTTTAGTTAGTGGCTCAATACCTGCCAAATATCTCATTGATATCTCAATTCACAAAAACGTTATGCCCAAAAATGACGATAAAAATGTCAGGAGTGCAACACCTTTTTGTGACATTTTGAAAATTCAATATTTTTTTAAAGATCTGTGAAATAGATAATAATGGTTTATGTTGGAAATAAAGAGTTATATTTCCTGATAATAATCAAAGTATTAAGCTTTAAATGAAGACTGTGGCAACTTTTGTTTGGCCAAATCGTGTTCATGGCTGATGTTGAAAAAAATATTAAACCATGTCAGGAGTGCAACAGACAAAATGTAGTGTTGCCAAAAAAACATCGATTTTAAAAATCTGAAAGACAATTAAGTCAAAAAAGAATTTTCAAGGTGTAAAACAATTACTGATATATTATATACATTACAAGCGGCATTAATGAGAGTCAAGTAGCTGTACATACCCAATAATGTCAGGAGGGCAACATTTGATGTTTTGCTCTTCAGCATGAAATTTTTTTTATCATATATGATTCTGTGGTTTTTATTTTGGAAAATAAAGACACAAAGAACATTTTTACCAAATAGATTTATCAATTACATGGTCTGTATGTGTTTCAGATCTATATTTCTATGGTCAGGAGTGCAACACATTTTTTAAAGATGCAAGTTATATGAAGAACTGACTTTTATTCATGCTAAGAAATATTCTTTCATTAATAATGATCTATTTGAATAATTGAGTACTAAATAATTTACAGTTTTATTATTAAAATTCTTTTTTTTCCTCAATTTTATCGATTGAGATGCGTTTTATCTTTTCTTTGAATTTTCTATGAATGTTAAAAATAAACACACTGAAAAATTGTTATAAAAGTCAAGTAATTCCACCTCAACTTCACTGAAACAACAGAATAAGTTCTGGTGTAATTTTCGCTTCACAATTCTACTTTAAAGACTCCCATGCTCTTGGTCAGGAGTGCAACAAATATCTTAGAATTATTGCTGATCAGATATGAATAAATATAAAGAAAAATGATGAGTAGAATGTTTCTGGTTGACCTCAGTTGCTTACAGTGTTTGTCCTGTGAAGGAAAATATACTACAATATATATATTTTATCTTCTAAATATTTTTTAGCTAGTTATTTGACATAAATAGGCAAAAATTCAAGATATAAAGCCAATTTTAATTACTTTCATGTGTTTTAACTATGAAGTACTGGACCATAAATATTGCACAATTTCGTTACCACTTGATGTTGCCAACACATTTTGAATTGTTGTGTTCTATGGTTTTAATCAATGATCTTCATTTATCTTTACTAAAGCATAAATTATGTTTGATGTTCAAAACATTATGTCTATCAACTAATTACAGACATTTTACAGTCAATTCAGAGAATAGTTTTCATCACTTAACACATATTTTTAAATACAATGTATATTTATTTCACATTGCAAATAATCATGTTTTGAAGTCCTGTGGTCATTATTTTATAATTCACCCATGTACAATACTGAAACTATCACGTACCCTGGGCGACTCTGAGAACAGTAGAATCTAGATAAAATGCAATATATGTATTCCTTGTCGGCTTTACATGAATTTTAATATTTCCAAGCCCATAGGAAAATTTTGCCAGTACATCCTATACAATGAAAAGTGAAATAAACGTACGATTTTTGCTGTTCTTTACTAGATTTCCCCCTTGTAATACTTATTGTGACCCCGCCCTACCCCCGGGGGTCATGATTTTTACAATTTTTACAATTTAGCATCTACACTACACCAGGAAGAAGATTTCTAAAGATTTTTCTTACATATTTCAATGTAAAACTTGGATTCCCTATTGTGGCGCCGCCCTACCCACGGGGGTCATGATTTGAACAATTTAAAATCTACCCTATCCCAGGATGTTTCCACATAAGTTTCAGCTTTTCTTGCCCAGTGGTTCTTGAGAAGAAGATTTTTAAAGATTTTTCTTACATATTTCAATGTAAAACTTGGATTCCCTGTTGCGGCCCCGCCCTACCCCCGGGGTCATGATTTTAACAATTTAAAATTTACACTATCCCAGAATGCTTCCACATAAGTTTCAGCTTTTTTGGCCCAGTGGTTCTTGAGAAGAAGTTTTTTAATGACCCCACCCTATTTTTGTCTTTTCTTGATTATCTCCCCTTGTAAGGGGACTTAGCCCTTTAATTTAACAATTTAAACTTCCCTTTTCCCAAGGATACTTTGTACCAAGTTTGGTTAAAATTGGCCCAGTGGTTCTTGAGAAGAAGTTGAAAATGTGAAAAGTTTACAGACGGACGAACGGACGACGGACAACGGGTGATCAGAAAAGCTCACTTGAGCTTTCAGCTCAGGTGAGCTAAAAAAGAAAAAGAATGTTTATTTGACACCTGGTTTTATCCGAGAATAAAAAGAAGATCAAATAAAGAGGTCGATCCCACAAAAAGAAAAACGTCGAGGCTACAATACAGTTCTATCTGAAGGTCTTGTAGCAATTAATTAACGCGTAACATATCAAATACTAATTTTTTACAGTTGAGGTGAATCTAGGGTAATTTTTTTATCTTTCAAAAACAACCAAGACAAGGACAATTTCACGAATACAAGAACTAAAGCCAAGTACTTTACAATGGAAATATAAAATTGATGACAGACATAAATTATTGTGAGCTATTTATATTTTCTGTCAAACTCTTTTAATGCGACAATGCACGTGCAAAAATGATAATTTATTCTGTCCAGGAACATTAATTTTATTCTAAGGAAAACCAATCGATTAGACATATTTTTTGAAAATAGATTATTTGATTAAAAGCTGTATAAGCCTGATTAATCTTTAATTAATGTTGCAGGGGTGGTTTATATTAGATGTAAATAACTCAACTCCTGGCTAAGGGTTCATTACTGTGTTTATTACTGATGTTTATGGTAGTCAATATTATAAACAAAACGGCCCTAAAAAATAAAATAATAACAATGAATATCACATGAGATAACAAATGTATACAATATATATTACTTATTCTGATTGATGTACAATAAATAGATTTAACAGTTAAGAGTTATCTCCCTTACTTTGAATATTTAGCATATACATAAATCACTGTACAAATATTCTTTACACAAATATTTTACTGCCACATTTCAATAAATGTAACAATATATAATTATAACTTAAAATATACAAAAGGTAACATATATTCAAATTACCTCTCTATGGGACAAGGCCCATTCCATAAAACATAGTAAATAGCCTGGATGCTTCATACAGGTCTACATATCTAATAACAAATACTGTACACTATACTATACATACTATAATACTCATAATTCAAATAAATTTATACTCTGAGGTAAAATGCTTTAAATTAAGTTTTTATTCATATTTAAACTTTCACTCTTCTTTCAAACAGTGATATTAGCTAGATAGACATATTATAAAGATATAGAATGTTAAACTTTATACTTACTGTCAGGTCTGATTTTAAAGGTCTCAAAGTCTTTGTCTTTGTCTAGAAAATCTTTAAACTTCAAACACAGCCAACCTGGCCAAAATCTCTGTGTAGTCTATCTGAGAACAACTCAGAACCACCAAAACTTACAACCAATAAAATTACAGAACCCTAATGTCATAACCTTTAAACTCTATCGCTCACCAAGTAAATAAAGGGGTGGATCTGGAATTTGTATTAAATCATAAAATCTAATTTAATTTCATTTATATCAATAATATTTGTTCAAATATTATGTGATATACATTATATACAGTAAAACACACTGCTACATTAAGTATACATGTTTTATTTAGCATAAAGTGTGAAGGTCATATCGACCAAAGAGTTTGAGAAAAGTTAACTTAAAACAAGATTGATGATACCCTTGTATCATGGCCATAGGAACGGGGGGAGGAGGGGGACAATCATTTTTAAAGTACACTATACAAAACAGCAATTTTATGTTTGTGTCCTCTAAATAATAACATAATAAAGTGAAACACTTACAGACACTAGACAACCTTCTATCCCTTAGCTTGTGGCACATCACTGTGGGGAGAAAAACCTACAAACTCAAATTTTGTGCAAGCTCGTATGACACTATTTTCCTGTACCATGTCAAGAAGAACTTAGCAGTTGAATTATTTTAAGTTTTCAGGAAACTATTTTTTCATGTTTTGGTACGTTCATATTTTGAATTTCATTCGAAGTTCAAAATACAAACATTAGGTTGATAAATATATGGATGAGAGGTGGTTAACATTGTAATAATGTGTCTAAAATCACCCAGAAGTAACAATAGCATATATTAAAAAATACTTGATCACTCTTTCCCCATCTCCCTCTCTTTTTTGTATGGCACAAATACACCATTCACAAAGGTTTCAAAATGAAATTACTAATATGGCCACGTCCAAGTAAATTTATCAGATTTTATATCAATACCTGACAATTTAAGGTGTTCGAATAAAATGTCCTAGTAACCTGACACAACCCTTGGTAACAACAGAGAGAGCGAATGTAAGAAGAATCAGGTTTTTTTCTTTTAAATCTTGAGCTCATGATTTTCTATAAATCTCCTTTTGAAACAATTTTATTAATGCAAATACATGTATACAACTACTGTTAAACGAAGAAAAATAGACAAACATGCGCTATGTATTAAGTCGATCGTGATGTTTCTTCCTATGAAAACAGATTCTTGTAGATTAGATGTAGATCATTCCTGCAATGAAAAGAAAAATGCTAGTTCTGAATGTTTATTTTGTCCCAAATTTTGCATATCCTTAGTGCAGTCATCTTTAATTCAAAATCTGTTTACTTTCGGATCCACCCCTCAAAGATACTGCCATTAATTGCCTCGTATCACTCTTTAGAAATATCAATGACTACTGACTAGTGTTAATTGCGCTTTTATTGGCTTCACCTCAAACCTATGCCGGACAGGATGTCCTGGCAAGATTGCTTGTCATTATACTCTCCACTTCATTTAATGCCTAACACCTTTTGGAAAGATCAAACGAAAGTAATAAAATCTCAGGAGATATATAACCTTATTCTTCATTAACAAAATACTGAATTTCTATGTGTCCACTCAAAAAGCATTCACATGGATTTGGGAAGCTGCTAAACATTGCTTCATCTATATCATTCTATAGTTTTCAAAAGACAATTTATTAGAAAATGATTGTAACTGTTGTTTTTCTCATAATGACGGTTTTTGGACTTGCCTTTGGTCAGACCCCTAAACAGGTCCAAAGTCTTATAAGTATTCTTTTCTCGAATTATGATAAAAGAGTTCGCCCAGTTGCAGACCAATCGTTACCGGTGATTCTAGACGTCAGCTTTAATCTCATAAGTATCATCGGAGTTGATGAAGTGAACGAGAAGCTGGAAAGTTCAGGATATTTAACGGTGCAGTGGCATGATGCAATGCTGACTTGGGATCCTGAAACAAACGACGGAATTGAAAGAATATTTGTACCCCAGGTATGTATCACTTTATATAATTATCGAGAAAAATTCCCAATACACAATACAAATTATGAGCAGAGCAATCAAGTATAAAACTCATAGGTCGGATCAGATACCATGGAGGAGTAAGCATCCCCTGTCAATCTATTACACCACTATGTGCCCCTTGTTATGATCTGGTAAACGAAAAATTCCGTACACAATACTGGCCTAACAACTTGTATGAAAGACGTCAGTCAACAGTCGATCTATTGATAGATTGTATTTGGCGACAGAGGGCATTTTATCGACCATAGAATTTGCGAAATGTTCACTTGGGAGGCGTAAACATCTTTTGCAGGTGATAATGGTATATTATGCTACATAAATAGAAGAAATTGACGATAAAATACTTTTTCATCACAATTATCATTAAATTGACGTATTAGTTTGTCATCAATGTCTTTCTCTAGTAATACATCAAAATGTGAAACCGATTTGCGAGATTTTGTGGAATTCAATGTGATATATTGAATCAACGTATGAATGAAATTTAAATGAGTTGAATCTGATTCGTTAAGAAACATTTGTTTAAAAAAACTATTACCTTCTGATGTAACCATGCTCTCCAAAGTATTAGATTGTAGCAGTAAACATTATTTAATGACGAGTGATATTCCAAAAAATATTGTCTGCGAGGAATCTTTAATATCGAATTGAATTACTTAGCAAAAGACTTCTGTTTTTTAGAAGTTTATTTTTAAATAAATTCTTCTTCATAAGAATACAAAATCAGGCTAACAATGAGGCAGAATAATCACCCATCGGAATTCAAAGAGATTGTTGGAAGACCTGGTCTCTCAATAACTACAAAGATATTGCTATTTTGTTTGTTTGTTTAACGTTCCTTTCGAGAATTTTTCACTTTTATTAAGACGCCATCACCTGCTGGTGGTGAGCTCCAAATTTAGACCTGGCACTCATGGCCATTGAGCAGTAAGGGACCTTTTTCGTGCCAGCTCCCACTGCAACACGGGACCTCGGTTTATATAGTCTCATCCGAAGGACAGGTCTATATGTCCCGCAGTGGGTTTCGAACCCGCGACGTAAGGATCAACTCCTTACTCCGCGACTCTAGAGCAAACGCTCTAACCACTGCGCCACCCAGACCACGAGATTGTCATCAATGCGAAACCCAAGTGTCTTTACCATATCAACCACTGAGTACTTGATTTTAGAATCAGAATGGTTTTAAGGCCTAATATCCACCTGTTCTAAATTTCATCCAAAATAAGTAAAAATCTCCAACATTGATTTTCATCTACAATAAACCCCTTAGATTTCAGTGGGAAAAAGTTTAAAGATGAAGCGAGGCTTACTTTCTCAGAAACTAATTTGTCTTATGATGATATGTAGAAAATGTGACACAGCGAAAAAAAAGAGCAATAATTTATTACCCCAGTATAAAATCAAAAATATAGAAATGACATTCAGTATAATACCTAATAAATCTATATCAGAAAACATAATGACGCAATGCTTTTTAAGTCAGAATTCTTTGTTGGCAAAAAAAAATGATAATAAATCTATCAGTAAGTGTTACCTTTCTCTATTTTTTGCTTAATGTAATAAAAATAAAGATTAACAATAAAAATGCTATATATGGTACATGGTAAATTATTCAAGTTTTACATTTTATTTGAAAAGATAAATATGTTATAATTTAGAAACGGCTAAGAAACGAAGAGTGCAACTGTTTTGGATCAAATATTATAAATAATTATCAAAAATATTGGCAAAGGAAAATATAAGTAAATGTTTGTCTCATTAAATTTTCTTCCATCAACAGGTGTGAAATATTGTACATGTAAATGAACAAACTTTTGGGTAAATAAGTCACACCTGAAAAAAATGGATAACATTCTTAAGAAGTTATCTCTCCTATAAGAAAGACGTTAGGCCTTAAGAAAGGAAATTTGTTTGTTTATGTGTTGTTTAACGTCCCTCTCGAGAATTTTTCACTCATATGGAGACGCCACCACTTGCCAGTGGAGAGCTGCAAATTTTGTCCTATGCTCGGCACTTACGGCCATTGAGCAGTGAGGGATCTTTATCGTGCCAGAACCTACTGCGACACGGGACCTCGGTTTATACGGTCTCATCCGAAGGACCGGTCTCACAGTGGAATTCGAACCCGCGACGTAAGGATCAACTCCTTATTTCGCGACTCTAGAGCAAACGCTCTAATCACTGCGCCACGCGGGCAACAAAAGAAAATTTGTAAATAACCTATGAAAAGATATGAAAATTTGTGATCTCAATTTTTTATTGAAAAAGCAGTTGTCTATGATGTCAAGAAGCCTGATCTTTAGTTTTTCGTGGAGAATTGCTGTATATATGTTGAATTGTCTTGATTCTATTGATTTTTGCAAATTTCTGTTAGCTAAATTTTCTTGAAGTTTTTTGGAGTCCTTTACTTTCCACATTTAAGTAACACCACTTCTCGAATATCCTGTTGGACAGTACTAATGGCAATGTTGATATTGTCGTGAGGAGTTAAAGAAAAAAAGGTCGGTAGAACATTTACTAGTTCCCGTCTTGTATCTTTGACAGGTTTTTAGAAGCTTTGGAATCCAGTATATGTACAGATATGGAATTCAAATTTAATTTGGCTTGGAATATTGAAAACATTTGAAAAGTGACATTTGATTTTGAAAAATCTTTTCCTTAAAAAGGGAATAATGAGTATACGTTGGATTACCACTTGTAGACTAAATGCAATTATATAAGCCTTACAACAAAGACTATGGGTTTCACCTGCTTTGTTAGCTGGCACTAGTGCATATTGAACATGCAATCTAGCTTATTCTTTAAAGTGATAAAAATGATTGTCTTTTTCAAAAGTTAGACTATACTAGACCTAAAATTGAAAATTAATTCATTCCGTTACTTCTAAAAGTAACAGTTTTTGTCATCTTTTTAACTTGACTCTATTGTTTTCAGTATTTAATGTCTTCAGTACGTACCTTTGTCTTTCAGAACGATATTTGGAAACCAGACTTGGTACTAGGAAATGGATTTAAAAAGTTTGAGGAGTTTGGAGGAAGCTTTTACTTTGTTGACATTCTGTGTACAGGTTTTGTATTATGGCAGCCTTTCCAGGTCTTTGAAAGTCACTGCACTATCGATACAACTTACTTCCCATACGATAAAGAAGTGTGCGAGATAGTGTTCCGTGTTTGGAGTTACACAGTTTTAGATGTAGAAATTCGTACATCTTCTGATGGGGTTGACCTCCAGGGTTACAAGGAAAGCGGCGTCTGGGAAATAACACACACAAAGGCTGAAGTTAGCAGGGGCTCGGCAGAATCCATGGTCACTTTTTCACTCTATCTGAAGAGGAAGCCTCTGTACTTTGTTCTCAATATCATAGTTCCCATCTTGTTTCTCGGATTGCTCACAATTCTTGTTTTCGTTTTACCGGTTGACAGCGGCGAAAAGATGTCGTATGCAATTACTGTCTTCCTGTCGTTTGCTGTTTTCCTTACCATCATCAATACCCAATTACCGGTTAGTTCAGACAGTACCTCTGTTTTGAGTTTTTATCTTTTACTTCAGATGTCAATGGGCGTATTGATTTTGGTTATCACGGCTTTGCAAATTCGTCTGCACCACAGAGATGCAACTGTTCCAATATCCAGAGTTTTTGAAATAATGGTGAAGTTCAAAATATGCTTGACATGCTCTAAATCTTTTCCATTATCGAAAAATTCTGTTGGATCTCTAACGACCTCAGACAAACAAGCAAGAAATAATCTGGAAACAAGTTGGGAAAAATGGAAAGAGAACAAAACTGAGTGGAAGGATGTTACTGCTGCTATAGATTCCTTTGCTTTCTACTTCTTTCTGATCGTGTACATTATTTTCTCGGTCACTTTATTTCTTTTTATCGCTGTTTAATGATACACGGTGTTCTGTTTCAAAATATTCTAAAGAAAAACTACAATTGGTTTTCAAAAGAAACTTAATTGTTAGTGGGAAAATATGATATACATATACGTTGTTAGGAAAGTCAGCAAAGACATTGAATTAAGGAAAATTTAATGTACTATGTGTACTTTGAAAAAATGAGATATGTCTGATTGAATTCTCATCTTTTGTTTACCGCCGAAATATGGTTGAAAGATTGCCGACTCGGCGTTAAACAATATTTAATCAATCAATCAATCATCTTTTGTTTATTAGCATGTAAAAAAAAATAACGTCCGTTTATTAACGATCCATGGCACCTGATCCCACCTCTGATGTTTGGAGGTCCGTGTTTGGTCTGCTTCTATTTTGTATTGTTTGATGGACTTTTGAGCCTGAATACTGTTCGTTATCTTCAAATATTTCATCATAAATCTTTATGCTCTACGACAGTGCAATTTTTTTAATTTCGAAAAAAAATGTTTACGTAATGTAAACTCCGTGAAACATGTTTTATCTAATTAATATCGCTGTATATTTATTTACAGATCATTGGAAAACACCAAATCTTTGCAATGTTTTTGGAAAATACGTATAGTTTTTATCTGCAGAGTTTACTGGTTTCATGCAAATAGTGCGCTCACAATAGAAATCATTGTCCAAAAAAATCTGGCTTCTGCGTGAAATGTAAGAGGGGTTCTGGGAACCAAGATTTTTTTGTCAAAAAACGTTGTTTTTCGACCCCTGTTTGGCCTCTAAAGTTAGAAAGATAATTCCGAAACCTTATTTGCACATCTACTGGACACCAGCAATCATCTTTGAAAAATTGAGTTGATTACTGCGTCAAATGAAAGAGGAGTTCTGGGAACTAGAGTTTTGTAGAAAAACGTCATTTTCGATCCCCATTTGACCCTCAGGGTAAAAATGAAATATCGAAACATTAATGCACTTCTACAGGACAGATCCCAAAGATGATAAGGGTACTGCCTAAAATATAGAGGAGTTCTTGGAACCAGGTTTTTGTAGAAAAAAACGTCATTATTTGAACTCCTTTTGGCCTACATAGTAATATTGAAAAATTCAAATCCTTATAGCTTATCAACAGGACACCATCTATCATATTCTAAAATATAATGAAAGAAAGAAGAGGTGAATTAATGCTTTTTTCCCGAGGGTATTTCCAGTATTGTTATCTATCAATTAAATTCATCTTTAATCAATCAGTTACCAAATCTCAATTGATTTTGACTTATAATCAAGAATTATTGAAATGTATATGACGGTAACCCCCCCCCCCCAAAAAAAAAAATGAAAATAAAAATTCTCAATATCTCCCATGCGCGTCTATCACAACCTTGATTCTTCTCTGCATGGAGTTCATCAATGCATTTATCTTTCTCATAGTAATATTCATTCAACTCTTCCGATAGGGCAGCCCCAAGTTGGTCGAAATTACAATTCCTCATTATATCCCCCCAATGAAAAATTATGCAATTCTTTTCGCATTATGTACAATTCTGAGCTATCCTTCGTTTTATTCTATCATTTTCGTTCATAGACCATTTAAAGGTTGTTTTCCTACTGCTTTGAAAAAGTTGGCAATAAGCGAGGACATTGCTTTACGCCGATTGGAATGAAGAGCGAAAAGAATCAAGTTATTGAAATGCATGAGTCTTAGTTTGCGACTTAAAACTTTTAAAATAGATTCTGCATCAAAACTTACCATATTTAATAATCACATTTATCACGTGACTGTCAAATCATGTTACCAAACAAAATTCAATATAGAGGAGTGGGATTACTATTTTATTTTTATTAATATCAAAGTCGCCTGATGATTTAATGGATTCACACAACTCTATATATTTAGTTTAAAAAGGTATCTGTTAATACACTTCCACAGAACGTTGATTACTGTATCGTTCGCCTTTACAGTGCTGTGTATTAAAATTTCATTATTTCATTTAGGGGCAGGTCTTCCCTAGGAGACTTACAGGGTAAATATTAAATATTAAACATTGATATTGAAATGTGGCTTTTTTCTAGAAAATTGTTCTCCCCCCTAAGCCATTCTTTTCTTACCCTTTATTGATTCTTTATTGTTTAAAAATAAAAACGAAAACTGAGTATATTGATAATGAATTTTTATAAAAAAAAAAAAAATAAATAAATAAATAAAGAATAATAATAATAATAATAATGTGTAAAAATAAAAACAAAAATATTTTGTTTTCTTTGTAAACTGATTTTTCTACAATGAAATATATGGCGATAAAGAACAAGCCCGTTCCATTTAAAGAATACAAAATAGGAGCTGAGCAAACACGGACCTCTTAAACATCAGAGATGGGATCAGGTGCCATGCAGGAGTGAGCATCCCCTGGCGACCTGTCACACCCGCCGTGTGCTCCTTGTCATGATCGGGAAATAAGGGGGAAATCCGTAGACAATTTACTGTTTAAATAATGACCTAACAAGTAAACATATCAGCAACAAATGTGGACTTTGTTAATAATTTATTGTACTTTAAAAATGTATGAAGAGAAAATGCATAATTTAATTATCAGATCCCCGTCTTCAGATTCTTCATCACACATACTGACCAGGCAATCAGTGACCTAGACAAAAACATAATAAATATTATTTACACCTATGTTGGAAATTGTTGATTTTATGTTAAGTAAACACACCAAGACGAATCCATTTATTAGTTTGGTACTCATGATTTAGATTTTCTTATTTAAACTTTATGATAATGATAGTGTCAGATTAAAGCAAAATATTGAAGGATTTGAGAAAAGAAATCACCGCATTATGATAATTGCATATTTAAAATAGTGCTTGTAAAAATCAACATGCATGTATCATTAATATTTAAATGTTCAGTACTGACTGTGATAAAATCTGTCATGCAACAGGTATAGACACCACACCAGTATAATCAATCCGGTGGTGATCGTAACAATTGCTCTATTTTAGTAAGAAAAAATTACATCATATTAAAAATCAAACTCACAAAACCAAATTTCATATCAGAGTTATTCTGAAATAACTTACACGGTTTTCTTGATGGAGTCATTAGAATAGGACCATCTTTGCCCGTTTCGACTATCTACAAATGTAAATATGGTTTTGATTATTTTATATTTCAAAATCGATGTAAAAAAGAAATCTGCAAGTGTTTCCTCAATTTTAAAAACAACAAACACAACATACCTGGTTGTTTCCTCTGTTTGGTTTCATTTATTTACCTAATCTGCAAATTACAGTAAATATTAGAAAAATACAACCATAAACACGACTTATAGAATTATTTATGTAGTGTTCCTTTTCTTAGCAAAATCTTAGCAAAACCGACATTTTGATAGTAACCTGAGTAAAGGATGATGGTCACGAAAAATTATCATACCTTTTGCAACTGCACGGGTCATGTCCGAAATAGCCTCTGGCAGAATCACATCTACATCTTAGTCTGCAGCCAGACTTAGGAAAAGTTGTTGACATAGTTGCCTCTACATTAACGTTTTAAACTTTACATGAAATACGTTTGATATGGGAAATCAAAAAAGGTTATTTCTCAGAAAAAGTAATTGAGACAGTTGGAACCATACTGATTTCTCGATTAGAATATTTTTCTGTATTGTATAGAAGTATTTTAATTCAAAACTTTTACATTTTTTTGTAAATGTTACGAAAAAAAAATCTACAAAGCTATCTGTTGACAAGTTAAGGTTCTATAACATCAAAGACACACAGAAAATCACCTGGGGGACAATTAGCTTCAATACAAGGAATGGGAAAGGCAGAATTTGTAGAATCCAACAGGTATGTTTTAGGTCCACAAGGTTGACAGGTATCTTCTGTTTTGTTTACTGAACAGGTTTGAACATACGATCCTACGGTAAAAATAACATCATTTCACTAATTCCCGCTCAGAGGAATTGTTGGAGAATAGGTCGATACCCCGTTAGTCAAGAGATTTTGTTGGCAAACAAAAACAGAGCCCGAAGAGTGAGGTTTTATTTGCCAACAAATCTCGAGACTGAGGGGTATATTCTCCAAGAATTCCGACGACAAGGGAATTATTTCTATTCTTCTATGGTGAATATTTCAACTTCTCTATAGAGAAATGCAGAAGCTTGATTTGGACGTCATTATAGAAGTCTCATAACGTCACAGTAGAAAACTACTCCCAATCTCCCTTGCAGAGTTGTCGTTCGTTTCTCTCTCAGACATCTCTGCAATGGGCTTGCTTCAAGATTTTTGACATAACGTTAAAAACATAACATTTCAAGGATTATTTCAAATTAAACTTATAGTTTTAGATCTATTTTGTAAATATCCATCCTTAAAGACTATCATTAGCTCAGATATTTAATTATAATAAATTAAATGAAACGCACTATTTCTCGTGCTTATCACTGTGGTATACGCGAGCCAACGACAGAGGTGAATGTATGAGCCGACACTCTCTACCATCGGCTCATACATTGTCTGAGAGAGGAACGAACGACAACTCTGCAAAGGAGATTGATGAGCCGATGGTAGAGAGTGAACTACTCCTCGTTCATTTGTATCTCAAGCTTTAGAAAAAGTACGATGTATTCCGAACCCAAAGTAATTTTTTTCAACCAGTTTGCGTCATAATACAAAAATTCGTCTCTCCTTTCCCTATAGTGAACACAGTCAAATTTAGAGAAAACCGATTGAAACTTATTGATATTTGTGGACGACATTTGTGATTTATTGGGGAATAATGTCCGCGGCATCTCTTTGATCTTTGCGATAACCGTAGTAGAATTCTTATTTTATTTTCATATCTATATTATCTGTCATTTTTTAAACTAATTGATGCAATGCACATACACAGAAAATTTTCCGAATTTGAACCATTTTGGTTTTATTCTAATGTCTTGATTTGTCTGTTTTTATAATTATTTAATTATTTGATTAAATTTTACCAGTACCTGGAGCACATGTTACACCTTTACAGCACACGGTTGTCCCATTCTGTCCATCATGACGAAATAACTCCTTCGGACAATCAGCAGTGGAGAAAGTCTGAAAGGAAGTATTTCTATAAACCTTAAACTTGTGAGAATTTCAACCAGATGCGAAGGTACATGGTGTTGCTGTGGGTATGTTTGTGTACAAGCTTGTGGGCAAAATTGAAAGGAAACAATGTTTGGTAAAATGGTCTTTTGAAATTCAAAGTTAACTGAATTGAAGGTGTCAAGCGTTAGTGATCGCCAGCTTTAAAATTTGTTTCTTAATATGCAGTGACCCCTTAATAATCCATATTCTGAAAATAGTTCCTATCGCGAGCTGATGATCCGTTTGGTGGTGCTTTTGCTGAATCATTTGGAAAACTCTAAACATAATAACCTACCATAAAAATTGTAGCGATGATTGTAAGTTTCTTAGTTTTATAAGGTTTGAAGACCTTCCGTCGAACGAAGCTGACATTGAGGAACAAACACACCATATCAAACAAAACCTAAAATAAATCAAATAACTGTATGTAACAAATTTGGCAATTCTCAATGAATTATCGAATGTGATTTATTTCTAAATCAAATACCTTGATAACTATGATGGAACAAACAATCTTAGTAAGAGTTCCAGAAGAAAGGAGAGACCTACAAAAAAAAATGCGTCTCATTATAAATGTTTGTAATGATGACCTAGCTATTTATCCCTTCAAGAATGATATATACAGTTCATTTTCTCAATGGAAGTTAATTGCCATCCATTTAATATTGAGAAAGATCAATGTATTAATGAGAGTGCCACAACATTCACACTTCTTTTTTTTTCAACTACATATACAAGACATACGGTACAAGCATGTAAAAGATATTACTCACAAGAATTTGAATCCATTGTTGTGTGTGGCCAAAATCCCTTTAAAAGTAAATAATATGCACAGCAGAGGTGCTACTGTGACTTTTAACCAGGATAAATTCTCCCCAGTATACAGACTGTCATTCATGTTGAATATATTTACTATAACTGAAAATTATGAAAAATAATATGACGTGTATTTGTTTTCATACGTTTCAACTTTCGTTTTAAAAATTGTAACTAAATATAAAGGTATGGATAATATATACAATTACAAAAACTTTTTCATGCAATTATACTGACTTAAGTTTCCCTTTTTTTATCATATATATTCTAATTGAACTGTAGGGATAATATGTTTTTAAACATATTGTCTTAATTTGAATAAACATACCTCTTTGACTGGGTATTCCAAAATGATTTATATATAGAAATAAGTAATGATTGACTACATTATTGAATTTAAAAAGAAAACAGGAAGGAGAAATACGAAATTAGATGACTATTCATTAAATCATGATTATAGCCAATATACACATAATAAGATTTTTTTCTTTTTATTAAATTAGGAGTTTAGCCTAGTGGTAGGGCGCTCGCTTCGTAATCGGAAGGCCCGGGTTCGCCCGGGGAGGACATGACAGTAGTGGTTATCGACCATAATCCAAGATGGACAGATGCTCAGAGAAAAGGCAAGGAAAAGTTCTGGATGCACAGGCTGAAGTCATTCCGCCCTAATGGTACTAACAAACTTAATGACTTCACCAGGATGAACGTGAACTAGACCCAATGCCGGATTGTAACAAACAAGTTCATTCTCTCTATATAGTGTAAACTTTACCGTTAATTCGCATTAGCAATTCTGGAACAACCTACCCAAACATTTACAGCTTACGTTTTTGTTTATTTCTTTTATCCGATTACCAAATTTTTAATATATCCAAATTCATATTTTAAAATTTCCCTTCCATATTATCTTTCTTTAATTTCTTTTTATCATGTACGGCTATTTTGAGAGAATAAGACAATGTACGATTTACTGCTTGGTCGTAATTAATTAGCGATAATTAATTCGTTTGATTATGTAAATTGCACTTCACCAGAGTACACCCGATAGACCGGACGCAATTCATAGCGCTCAGGATTTCTTTGTTCACAACTGTTTATAAACTTCAAATTAAACATGTAACACTGTAAATATTTATGTTTGGTAGTTTAGTAGTAGTGCTTGTTGTTTTTGTTTCTCTATTTCATTTGTTTTCATGACTTCTTAACTTTATTCTTTGTCCTGAGGAAGGGACAGGTCGTCCCGTAAATTTGACAATTATTATTGTTCGTGTCGTTGGTCATTTTTAGTGCTTTATATATATATATATATATATATATATATATATATATATATATATATATATATATATATATATATATATATATATATATATATATATAAAGCAGAATAAAATATTGCATAATTGTCACGCAAAGAAATTATTATTTTCAAATAATTAATCTGAGTAAACTTGTCAGGAGCTTGCTTATTATCATGAAAGAGTCACAAGCATGGGACAGTGGTTAGAGCGTTTGCTTTAGAGTCGCAGAGTAAGGAGCTGATCCTTATACGTCGCGGGTTCGAATACCACTGCGGGATGTGGAGACGGGTCCTTCGCATGAGACAGATAAATCGAGTTTGGAGTGGCATGAAAAAGATCCCTCACAGCTCAACGGCCATAATTCTGACTTTATGTCTTAATATGCAGCCCTCCAGCAGCAAGTGGTGGCGTCTCAGATTGAGTGAAAAATTCTCAATGGGAAGTTATACAATCAACAAAACAAATTATCATGATATAAATGAAAAGCATGTTTTCTCATTCGCAGCTAGAAAATAAATTCCAAGATTTATTCAATTCTTTAGATTATGAGTAGAACTGAAGGACACATTTTTTTATTAGTTTTAAAAATCTCCTAAATTTGATTGATGTTTTTATAAAATATGTTTTCTCCATTTAACTTAAGCATTATAAATGATTTTTCTGGAAATTCGTTATGTGCGCAACAAATTAATTCATAAATCTTTCAATAAATTGAGAAATATTCAATTATTCGAGTTTATGTTTATTTGACGCCCTATTGACATTAAGATAAAGGACTGGCTTTGGAATGTACCTACAGATATCTGAGGACATTGGATCCCTCACCCTCCTAGAAAATAAATATCTTCGAGCCTTTATGATTTTCTTTCATATATTATCTTCTTATGATATATTTGTGATCTAATCGATACCATCAATTCAAAAAATATTACCTAAAGCAATTTTTTTAAATATTCTATCCCACTCTATATATAGCAAAAAGGCTCCCAACTTCGCTGAGAGGCATTGTCGATAAATTTTGACTCGCTTTTCAAACTTTCGTTGTTTTAGTCACATGAACATGAATGTTAAAGTTGAAGATAACGATTAGTAATCATCCTCTAAAATCCAATGAAACAATACAAATTGTGAGCAGAGAAAACACATACCTTTAAAAACATCAGAGAACCCTAAAATGAGAAATCCATAGTTAATTCAGTATGAAAATAGTGGACTAACATTTTTTATGAAAGACGTCAGTAAACATTCGACCTAATGACTGATTGTATTTGCAAACAAGATCATTATCCTAACACATATTAACTATAGTTAACTAAAGTTAACTATAGTTAATACCTTGATACTTTGATTTACTATGAGCCTTTACTCTAGAACTTTTTGGGGAATTTCAGTGCTTAAAGTCACTTAAATGCGATAATAAATGCGATGTAAAATTACGAAATATATGTAATATGTGAATATACAAGTAATATTTCCATTTGATAAGAAAAATGTGCAGGTATGATTTGGACAACATAGATATAGCAATCTGAAATCCCTAGTAAAATAACTTTGATTTTCAATAGTAAAAACTGATTTGCTATAGTTTAACTTTATACCTTAGTAAACCAAAGCTAACAATGGTAAACTATACTTAACAGCTGTACCTTTTGTTGGGGTATATCTGCAATAAAATTTGTGAAATTTTGACTGTTATCAAGGTTGTAGATACCCTTTTATCATCAACTAATTTGTCAGTGGTCTGCCTTGGTTTAGAAATTGTTCATATGAAGAATATGTTCTTTTGTTTAATCAAATGGGGCACATTTGCAGGTGATAATGGTTTATTGTTTATTTATAATGAAGGTAGACGATAGAAAGGTTGAAGTCATCACGTTTATCATAAAGTTTAATTGTTAGTTTGCCATTAAATACATGTGATTTAAAAGAATATCTTTCCTGCTGAAAGGGAAATATAGTAATAGTTGTGTCCCGTACGTATTGATCATGCAATCTAGCTAATTATTTAATAATTTCTGAATTACTCAATACAGAGGGGTAACAATCTTCATTATTAACTATATTTACATCACTAGTAAATAGGTTCCCAGCAGGACAACAGTTGTGGGGAAAAGATGGACATGAACACGTAGGGGAATTTTGCTACATGATTATTAAATAGTACATACAAGTATAATAATTATTTACAAATGTGATAGTAGTAAATATGAGTTAGGATTGTAGGGTTTTTGGTTTGGTTTTTTTTTTTTTTTGGGGGGGGGGGGGTAATCAAAAAGTTTGGTAGTAAAAGTCGAAGAACATTTATAAGAAATAAAAGGTTATAGATTTACCTTCTATTATGATGGAAAACTGTAATGTTTAGTTTTGACTTCACAGCAGAAAAAAATCAAAACTATTTCCACAATGACGTATAATTATCTGAACTTCTCAAAACAAAAAAATATATATATTTCAGATTTTCCTCCTCAGAAATGTACCAGGACTACGAGGGGAAGGGGGTGCGTAGAAATATATCATACATATTTCAAAATAGGATGGGAATTTATTTCAAATTTGCATCTACGCAAGGCTAAAAGAAAATAGTTTCACTTCTATTTTGACAGAAAGCCCTAATGATTTATGTTCATTGATTTTTGAGTATGCAAGTACACCAATGAGTGAAAGTTCCATCAGATAATTGGACTATAAACACACCACAAATTAAGTCATTTATAAAGAGATGCATAGATCAGTTAACTTATTTAAGAACAAGAATAATACTTATAGCCTTATGCATGTATATAATCGTTTTAGAGTGCACCCCCCCCCCCCCACACACACACACACACACCGATGTTTCATTGATTGTGACATTTACTGATTGAAGCATTGACTGATTGAAACATTGATTGTTTGATATCTAAATTGATTAATTAACTTTTTGATTGTGAATGTTGATATTGTGACACTAAAATAGTCAGAAAAAGCTATGAAAGAGAGTACGAATACTTTGTTTTTATATTCCTATCGATATAATTGTTTTCAATACTGTACGTTTCTCAAGAGCCTAAATCATAGGTTTAGTTTATTTCAGATTTAATTTCCCAATTCCACATTAAGCTGCTAGTCCTGTAAGCTCCCCACTTAACTTAATGTCGATAACCTTATAGGAGAGTTCAATCTTGATCAAAGTATTTAATCATGAGGTATATAACATTTATTTTCCCATCAACGGACAAACCTGAACATTGCTATTTCCACTTAAAAAGCATTCACATGACCTGTCCTGCTAGTTAAAAGCGCTACATAATTTTTGGGAAAAATTAACAGTTTTTAAAGAAGATTTAGATAGCGAATTTAACAGAATGATTATAACTGTGCTTTATCTCATCCTGACGGTTCTTGGACTGGCCTCTGGTCAGACTCCTCAACAGGTCAAAAGTCTTATCAGCAATCTTTTTTCGAGTTATGACAAAAGAATCCGTCCAGTTCAAGATCAGTCGTTACCTGTGATTCTGGACGTCAGTTTTAATCTCATTAGTATCATAGGAGTTGACGAAGTGAATGAGAAGCTGGAAACTTCTGGATATTTAACGGTGCAGTGGGATGATTCCATGCTTACTTGGGATCCTGCAACTAATAATGGAATTCAAAGAATATTTTTACCTCAGGTTAGAGTATCATTTTACATTATTACATGTATGATTAAAAAATATTATCACTTTAAAAAATTCAAATTTTCTCTGGATTCCAAACTTACTCGTAAGATTTCTTGCTTGTTCCAGAATTTCTACATTTTCTTCATGGGATAGAAACAATACATGTTTCTAAAACAAAGAAGCAGGGAAAATTACATTTTTCATATCAAAGCTTTCAAATTGCTTTTTTCAAAAGTAAGAATATAGTATCTGATCATTAAAACTCTGGATCAAATGACAATTTATTTTGTTACTTTTTTAAAATCAAAAAACATTTGATCTTTGTTTTTATCAGGCTCCTTATTATTAAAAATCTTTCAAATTTGGTTTTCCAGAATGACATTTGGAAACCAGATCTTGTACTAGGTAATGGATTTAAAAAGTTTGAGGAGTTTGGAGGAAGCTTTTACTTTGTTGACATTCTGAGTACAGGCACCGTATTGTGGCAGCCTTTCCAGGTCTTTGAAAGTCACTGCACTATCGATACAACTTATTTTCCATACGATAAAGAAGTCTGCGATATTGTGTTTCTTGTTTGGAGTTACACAGTTTTTGATGTAGAAATTCGTAAATCTGCTGAAGGGGTCGATCTTTATGGTTACAAGGAAAGTGGCGTCTGGGAAATAACACACACAGAAGCTAAAGTTAGCAAGGATTCGGCAGAATCCAAAGTCACGTTTTCAATCCATCTTAAGAGGAAGCCTCTGTACTTTGTACTCAATATCATTGCCCCCATCTTGTTTCTCGGATTGCTCACAATTCTTGTTTTCGTTTTACCGGTTGACAGCGGCGAAAAGATGTCGTATGCCATGACTGTCTTCCTGTCTTTTGCCGTTTTTCTCTCCATCATCAATACCCAACTACCTGTCAGTTCAGACAGTACCTCTGTTTTGAGTTTTTATCTTTTACTTCAGATGTCAATGGGTGTATTGATTTTGGTTATCACAGCTTTGCAAATTCGCCTGCACCACAGAGATTCAACTGTTCCAATATCCAGAGTGTTCAAAATTATTGTTAACCTTGAGAGATGCTTAAAGTGTTCTAAATCTTGTCGACCGTCGAATGTTTCTACATCGTCTTCAGAGTCAGACAAGGACAACCAAATTAACAATTCTCTAAAATTGCCTGGGGAAAATTTACAGGAAGCCAGTAACTGTGAATGGAAGGACGTGGCGTCGGCCATAGACTCCTTAGCTTTCTGGTTCTTTCTGATATTGTACCTTTGTCTTACGGCATATTTATTCCTTTCTATCGCGACATAAAGTCAGTAATTAAAAAAAACTTTAATTAACAAAAAGGAAATATTTTTAACTACGTATACAATCATTCTCAATTTTAATTTCCTAATTATCGTCAGTATGAAAATTGTACTGATGTTTCATTGTTGTTTATTCTTTTACATATTTAAGTCTTCCACTGATTTTAATAGCAATCAAAGTATTCAGCATCAGAATCATGCTGTTTTAAGGTGAATGAAATAGCAACGTTCTTTATTTTATTATTTTTTATCCAGATCAGCAAATAGATTGAAAGAGAAAATTGATAAAAGAAATAAAAACCCTTTCTTTATTTTTATTGGAGAAATGGGGGTGTTTTCTTTTTATTCTGTAATTTAATTTTTATAGCTTTTGTACCAATCTTTTAAAAAATCTCACTGACTTACTGAATCTTTTATGTACAATTACTTTTACAGTGAATACATCATTTTTTTTCTTTGGCATCATAGAATCTCGGAATTAGTTACAATATTTTAATCAGAACTGCTGGATGTTGTTATTGATATTTCTCTAACCTTCAAATATACTGTCCATATTTTATTTTACTACATTAAAAAAGAAACTCTGTCCCCACGTGTTACAAATGGACAAAATATCTCCATTTCTTTAATGTGTATCACATAGATAATATATTTATTTCAGAAAGATGTTAATAATTTTGGAGATCGTGTATCAGAAATTAAATGTAGTTTTTGCAACAAACAAAGCGTTTAAAAGGATTGTTCTGTAGGTAAACACTACTGTGTTCAGTAGCGCATGGCAGGTAAATGCTCTCCAAGTGCGAACTCTTCACCTCCTCTGTTACCTACTAACAAAATTTTAACATACAAGTACATTTACAGAGTAAATAGAATCATAAAAATTTAATAGGGATATGTCGATATTGATATTTTTAAATCATCTGTATTTTGAGAAGTGCATTTATTTTAAATATATACACTTAACAAAACTTCTAAGTGTTCACTCCAATAAATGCATTTATTTAAAAACTACATGATGGAATATTATGATATTTTCAAATTATTATAACCAATGAGTCTTCCAACAATTGTCGAAAGAAAACCGCTTATCACCGATGAAAACCAATGTCCCTTGACGAAGCTTAAAAACAATAAATCTGTACTTTGCGACACGTGCTTTGTGTAATCAGCTTCTTTTGTGATCATTACCATTTTTTAACAACTGGTTTAACTAAAAAACACAAAACATGGGCAAAATGACCATTGAGGAAGGAGGGAGAGCCGTTGGAATGTTGATATCTGGATCATCCTTATGACACGTTTTATTAACTTTTATTTTACTGTTTATTTGTCCTTGATATTACTTTTAAAAATTAACAACCAGTATAAAAATCCATTTAAACACATTTTTCTATAGGTTATGTCTCATTTTTATCGCCAACTTATCCCCGTTTGAAAGCTTTGGACAAAATTTAACCAAACCGGAAGTGATCTGGATCTTCGTCTGAGGCCAAGGCTTCGCGTCACAACCAGGTTAAAAGATTGTTACATGGTCCTGAACCACTTTAGAAACATTTGAAGCAGCAACTTCAATGGTAAGAAATTGGCAACAAATTGGTGTTCATGGAAGTCCAATATCATCTCAAACAGTCTGAATCATCCTTAAAGAGGTACACTTACTTGCGTAACGCCCAAAGAGGGTCTAAGTGTTGACAAAAAGGCATCTGTGTGATGCACTGGCCTGCCAAATACCCGGATCTAAATCCCATTGAACATATTTGGGACTTTCAAAAGGAATGTCCAAGCCCCCCTCCCCCTCCACACAATTTCAACGGTTTAGAAAGATCCATGCAGTAGGTGTGGCAGCAGATAGGTCAACCTCCTATTCAAGGGTACATGGTATCCATAAGAAAAGGGTGTCTTGCAATAATTTGACCGAGTGGTGGTCTTACTCCATAGAGATTATTTTATGTGAATTTTCATTTTGAGGGTACATCATGTCCTTGACACTTTGCTTTAAAGATACTTACATGAAATTTGCGCAACATCGAACTGAAATATGCATCATCAACCATGATTTAAAGAAATTATTTATTGTATGCATTTGTTCTTTTTAACTTAAAAAATGTTAGTAGGTGAACACTTAAAAGTTTGGTTCAATAGATGTATATATATATATATATATATATATATATATATATATATATATATATATATATATATATATATATATATATATATATATATATATATATATATTAGGATTGTCAAATCGGTCAATATTTGATAACCGGTTACACGGACGATTTTCCGATCGAGTACCCGGGTACTCGGAAAAAGCGGTATACATGAAAAGTTTGTTGATTTTATTGAGACCTGTTTACACCATCGATGTTTTCTTTCGTTTATAATGCATGTACATAAACATCGAGCCCAACGAAAACGATTTTTTGGTACTTAATTTATGTATCAAACAAACACAAAAGACATGATCAATTATTACACCAACAATTACAAATGATTTACAGTTCTTTTTTAGGAAGACAATTTGATCAACGGAAGAGAAGGACGCAACTTTGTAATGATTAGACTAGCGAAAGAGAATCACGTCTTTGGGAATGGACGTTGTCGTGATCGCGAGTCGTACATGTATATTATTTACATTTCCGAGTTTTCTCTTGATAACTCTGAAAGTTAATTATGTTGATTTCTCGATATTTACAACTTCACCCGTTATGCATAAATTATCCCACATTTCCAACTGCCGTTGATGTTCTAGCATACCCAACAAACTAGACAGCGGTTCCTTAAATATATGGTTGTTTCACCCCGTATACGCTGATATTTCTATGTATGTCCGATTTCGCTACCGTATGCTAATTAATTATTATAAGGATAATTAATAGATCATAATTAAAAAATGTTCATTGAAAACAAATAATTAAAGCCTTTCAAAAATTAGGGTCACAAGAGGTGAGAACACCTGTGTACGATGTCCAGTAATTGGTCACGGTAATTAATGTATACACATGTAAGCAGCCAAAGGCGATAATGGGTATTAACTGGTGTAGGTGACGCTAATTTCTGTATGGGCATGGACAATAGATATTTAAATCACATTTCTTGATAAGTTTTTAATAAAAATATGCACTTTGAAATATGAAAAAAAAATATACACCCGAGTAACCGAGTACCGATTTTAGTATTCGATACTCGGACGTTCGATCGAGTACCCGGTTAACCGGCTTCAGCTTCAGTAGTACATGTATGTACAGTTACAATGAATGCAATTTTGCAGTTTTACTTAGTTGTTTATATTCAGAATGTTTCTGTAAATATGAAATATTCATATTGATGAAAAACGCACCATAAGAAATGTTCAACTCTATATTATCTTTAAAATAAGAAATGCAATATTTGTTATATGTATATTATAATAATTTACATTATGTTATTATTCGACCAAGTCTCAAACGAACATTAAATATTTACTACCTTGGTTCAAATTCATAAAAACACAATTTATTGGTAATGGCCCAAAACTTGCGCATTTATTCTTACAAAATACATTGAACACGCGATTATCTGCTTTGCTGCTTTGAAAAAGAAACTGCATCAGTTATCAACTTCATAACACATCTAAAACGATTCATTGTAATTTATAACGTTTAGCAATGAAAAACTTTATATCTATGTGAATACAGAGAGAAGGTGAGTGGTTATAAAGCGTATGAAAAGCGCAAAGTCTTGAGCTCGAATGGCTTAGACATAGAACATTCATGCTCTACATAACCGGTCATACAGGTGTCACTAGCTTACTTCAACAAACTACAAATAGAAACCAATACAAGTGTTCGATTGATTGATTGTATGTTGTTTTACGTCCCATTCAAGAATTTTTCACTCATATAGAGACGTCACCATATACCGGTAAAGGGCTTCAAATTTTGACCTTTACTCGGCACTCAGGGCATTGAGCAGTGAGAGATCTTTATCGTGCCAACGCCTGCCGCGACACCGCGGGGCCTCGGTTTTTAAAGTCTCATCCGAAGGACCCGCAATTTTCACTTCAAAGTGCCGAGCGCATGGCGAAGGAACAGTTGCTTCCCATTTTATATCGACTTAGATCAATCGCGGCCGAGATTTAAACTCCCGACCTCCCTACCACGGAGCGAGCGGTCTACCGACTGAGCTACCGGGGCGGCTAAATATATCGAAAACTTTTATATAATTATATTGCTTTCTACAATCAGTGAAAAAGCAATCCTGGAGAAAACTCGTTACATTATAAATACATGTATATGTATCTATTCAAATAAAAAAAGCCCCCAGTGAGGATCGAACTCACGACCCCTGGTTTACAAGACCAGTGGTCTAACCACTGAGCTATGGAGGCCTGTACGTATTTGTTTGAAGAACCACATAGCAAATCCAGCTTAGCTTAGATTTGTTTCAATCGATCAGAGAACAGCTGTTTGTTCATTCATGTTTAATATTGACTAAAGAACTATAATATTTCATACTTTAAGTATTTCTAAGTAAATGATCTCGAGTAAAAATGACTTTGAACAAATTTTTCCTAAAGTAAACATTTATGCTTGAAATTTCCTGTTCCTCGGGGCATATTGCGAATGAAAAATGCAATTAAGTTTTTTAATACATGTATAAATTCAAAGATGTATTTGAAACAAAAAGAAAAAAAAAAACATTTTTTTATAAATACTGACAGATCCAAAATTTTAAGATAAATTATTTAAATTTGGCATTTTAAATGATAACTAAATAATCATGTGTTTTCTGCTAGTATAAAAGCTAATCCTTAAAGTTTTTACGTTATAATATTGATAGACCTGAGAATATCTATACGGGATCGAGAAAAAAAGGGAAAAGATAGATAGATAGATAGATAGATATAATCGGTTAGCTAGTTACTAGTTAGCTGTTCAATTCAACCCTTATCCTGAATATATGTTTCATAGAGTTCATAGAGTTGAGTAACAAATCTTATTTGACAGTTTTATCTGA